CGGTCCCAGGCTGTGTGTGAACCCTCTCCCTCCATCCTGACAGCAGTGACTAAGAGTCTCGAGGGCTGAATATCTCCAGTCCCTGCTCCTCCTCATCCATGGAGAAGCCCCTCGGGCCCTGACTCAGTCGGCTCCTGGCTATTTCCATCTTTCCCTCCTTCCAGCTCTTCTCTCCTGGTGTCTCCTGGGCTGGAGCCTGTGGTTAGGAACTTCCCTCCCCAAGATTTTAGCCTCTTTTCCTTGTAGCACCAATCCCATTGGATCACTGCCTCCTGTGTCTTTTCGAGCCCCAGTGGAAATTTGGGAACTCAATTCCCATCTGGACTTTAAAACTCCTTTTCTCTCCATGACAAGCTGCCCTGGTTGTGATTTAATCTCTATTTCCAAGCTCTGCTTACTTGTAGCTCCTCATTATCCCTTTGCAGCCTGTACTTGTGGGGTTCTGACCTTACTTCCATTGGGAATTCCAGGCCAGTGACCCCTGTAGGGTCATATTTATCTTGGAACATCCATCTCAAGCTGTTGAGCACATGTTGAGATTGTGTAGATCACCAGCAGGTTGTGGAGGACTTCTTTGGTGGGACTTTCGGTGCTGTATTGGTGGCTACTTGAGCTTGGAGCAGAGGCCAAAGCTGAGATGAGCCATCTCTGGTCAGATCTTCAGCTGACACAAAACTGGAGCAGCACTATTGACTTTGCAGGGGGACGATGGTTGGCACCAGCTGCGAACCTGATTCTTCTATTTTTAGAGGTTGCTTTTGCTCCTGGGGCTAAATCAGATCTCACCTACACAACTCAAGCAGCAGGGCTGCTTCATTCCAACACTGTTCCAGGGTCTCACCCTCTTCCTTGGTAATTTCTTCCCTCTTATTTTGCTTTGAGTCAAAATTTTTACTCTTCCAGTTTTCCTGTGATTGCCCTTCAGGGAAAGCCAGGAATGTCGCCCAGCCCTCTGCTGAAAAGTGGATTATTTTGGCCATGTGTGGACATACTTGTCTGGTTAAACTGGTCTTGCTTTTAGATCCAACTTTTTTGTTGGGTTTGCTTCCTGAATTGTGCATGGCTGATCAGTGATGGCTGCCTTTGGAGCTGCCCCCAGTGGAGCCACATCACAGCACGTGGTCCAGCGTGGTGTCATCTGAGGGGCATGGAGCATCTCAGCCCATACCCAAGCAGGTGTCTACCACTAGGGCCAGAAAATCATCTTCCAGATGTTTCTCCATCAGTTAGAGCCTGGCTTAAACTTTACACCTCACTTAGAATCATGGAATGGTTTGGGTTCAAAAGGACCTTACAGCTCCTCCAGTTCCAACCCCTGCCATGGGCAGGGACACCTTCCACTAGAGCAGGTTGCTCCAAGCCCCTGTGTCCAACCTGGCCTTGAACACTGCCAGGGATGGGGCAGCCACAGCTTCTCCGGGCACCCTGTGCCAGCGCCTCAGCACCCTCACAGGGAAGAGCTTCTGATTTATGTCTAGCCTAAATCTCCCCTGTTTCAGTTTGAACCCATCACCCCTTGTCCTATCACTCCAGTCCCTGATGAAGGTCCCTCTCCAGCATCCTTGTAGCCCCTTCAGACACTGGAAGCTGCTCCGAGATCTCCACGCAGCTTCTCTTCTCCAGGCTGAACAGCCCCAATGTTATCAGACTGTCTCCACACAGGAGCTGTTCCAG